TTATGAGTCTCCTAGGGTTAAGTGCACTGAACTGGGGCTTTCTGTCTCTTCCGAAGGACTAGGCAAGCAAAGTGTCTGGGCTTGAGGAATCAGCACCTCAGACCCACTGTATTCAGCAAAGTATTTGCCTGCCTTTGATGAATGGTGTCCAACAAAACAAATACCAGAACCAGGAGGAGCATCTTTCTGCCTGTCTTAATGTGTATTTCTTTGTCTCCAGGCCCTCCTGGCTCCTTTTTACATGCCAATCTTAATTCTGAGCATCCGACACCTCTCCAAGAGTTCCTGAGATGCCAAACTCCTCTTAGCTCTAGAAAATTTCAGAACATTTATCTTTGTTTTAATTAACCCATATTTACCTTTCTGAAGGCTCTCCTCAAATTGGCTTTCTGTCATTCATTTCTCTTTTTGTTTATGTAGCCCTAGGACAGCAGGGAGGATCATCAGAGGGAAGTTGTGATTCTTCTCCTTCATACAGAATTTATGTTTTTGTTGGAACATAAAATACATGAGTGAAGTTGTGTCAGTATCAAAACCAGAGGCAGAAAGGTAATTTCTTAGAGGAGATCTCTTACATAGTCTATGACCACTTCCTTGCAGATGCTGGTTTTATGGGGTAAGAAGAGCATAGGCAGCTGGCACCTCCAAATTCCTTTTTGAGTCCTTTTTAAAAATACCCATTCAAACTCATGCCTAGTGTTTTTAACCTTGACAGAGCTTCATACAAATAGATTTGATCCACCATAACATTAATAATCACTGCCGGGGCACTTGTAATCAACCCACAACAGGCCAACAGCAGAGACTTTCAGCACGAAGATGACAAACAAGAGAACTTGAGCTCAGGTTAGCTGTTAACTCCAGGCTTTTACATTTCCAGTGGTAGGACAGCAGTGGGAGATAGCAGGATAGAGTCTCTCAGAGCACTGCCAAGGCAAGGACTTATTTTGTAATTTACAATTTAAAACTTTATGGACAGGTGAGTATTGCCTGTTGGTGATGTTGGCTATTCATTGGCCACTCATGTCATTTTGCCTTGTCACAAAGATTGCTGCTTGCTATTTTAAAATTATACTTCTGGCTCTCAAACCTGGGAGTGGTAATCTGTTCATGTTTAGGTGTCGGATGATGTGATTGAAACACTTTTGTCCCCAAATGGAAAAGAAAGGTCAAAACCCTTTCAGAATACTTCTTCCAGGAAGCCAGTGCAATGCAGCTTGCTCTGAAACAAGCCTCATGTTAAGACATCCTGCTTTTGCAAAAGGTCTGTGCTTGACTATTGCAACTCTGGCCCATATCTGTTTTCAAGACCAATGTGGCTTCAAGCATTAGTCCCTGTTAGACACAGTGAGACGACATAACGGGCCTATTTGTGAAAGCCTGCAGGGAGCAGCAGCCTATCATGAGCTCCTGCAGCCAGGCTGAGGCAGTACTGGAGCAGGAAGAATGCAGAAGCAGAGCTGCTGTTCCAGCTGCCAGAAGGTGCTGCCCTTCAGGTAGCTTCTCTTGCTCTCCTCTTCCTGTCACCCAGGCTGGTGTAGAGGAGCCAGCAATTAGTGGCTAGTGCTTGCAGTATTCAAGGCTAGGCTTAGGCTTAGGCCAGGCTCCACATGTCTTCCGAGTCAGCAGAAGATCTGTTCTCAGGGATGATCGCATGCTGCCCAGAAGAACTCAGATAGCTTTGTAACCCCATGTGCTTTACCTTTATCAACCCACCAAGCGCAGCATGTATGGATGCAGTGACATCTCTTCAGTTGACTTCCAGATGTAACCCTGATACCAAACAGCTATTTACTTCTGACCTGGAGAGCTCTCACAACCATCCAGTAAACACTGACCTGAGCACCTCTAGTACGCACTGGTTTAAGCACCTCTAGCCAGCTTTCCTTCTACTATGTGTCTCCGCTTTCTCTGTAGATATGCAGGGACTGCCTATATACACAACCCTTGCTACTAATGGAGAAGACAATGAAAGTTATTGGAAGTGCCTGAATGGATGATTCCTGTGACTGCCTCACCCCTTATACCAGAAGGCTGAGACAGAGTATATTGGCCACACACTTTAGTTTATAGGTTATTTGTAAGATTGGAGGGTTTTTTATAGCATTCTCAACATGTCAGATGGAGCTCACCATAACTTGATAACTATGAAGAATGGCTCTTGACAAGCCAGTAACGTACATTCTGTGAGATGGAGAAGCCAGTCCCAAACAGCAGTTCTAATTTTAGTTTTTAGGGCACACAGCCATTTCCATTCCTCTTTGTTAACACTCATTGTCAACTTTCCTGCTGCAGTTCAAGAAGTAAGAATTTAATTCTCTGCTTATTGGAGAGTAGTGAGATGGAGCAGTGGGAGTAGGCCTACTGAGTCTCTTGGGGGGGATGTAGGCAAGGAGCTAGTGAGAGCTTTGCAGGGCTGGTTCAGGTAGAAAAACATGGATGAAAATTTCACTTGGCAGAAGACTTTTGGTGCTGAGTCAGTTAATCTATTTCCCCAGATCAGAACTGAGCAGGCCAGAAAACATTTTAAATTTAAGGGTAAAGTAATCTTCCTGGCCACAAGCTCAGCTCAGTTGTGAGGACAGAACATGCTGTGCAAAGCTAGGGAGGGCAGTGATTAACAGCACATTATAATATGAAAAGATCTGGGTGGCTAGTCTTGGCTTACTTAGAGGTTGTAAAGTTGCTTCATGTCTTTCTGATTCCATTAAAGTGAAATAAATGGTGGCCAGCTGGCAGAATATCAAGCTATTGCATTTAAATGCACAAATTGTTAAAATACGTAAGATAGTGTCTGGGGTGTAGGAGTTATGAGGTCTTTGGGTATTTGTCCAAACTTTGTGTCTATATGCTGAATGTTTCATGGGCGTGCCTTTTAAACATAAAATTTTTTCCTCAGCCTGCATCATATGTTAAATTAGTGTATGTCTAGGCCAGCACAGGTGGTCAGAGGGAAAGCAGGGAGCCTTAGCACAGCAGGTTGTACCCCTGAACAAAGAACTGCTTCAATGACAGGCCATGGGAGCCCCCACCACCTATGAAATGTAGCAGAAAGCATGTTTTCTCTTCCCTGGTAAGCTGAGCTCTTGGCAAAGAAAGCATGAGGCACCTTCTGTTGACACTGGTCTTACTGTGCGGCTAGTGAAGCAGATGACTGCACTCTGCTACAGTCCTATTTTGGCATCATGATATATTTTTCAGATTAGACTGAGAGCATATTCTCCCTCCCCTCTGCCCACATGCAGTGTTCCATCTTTGTTAAATTGCGCACGTAAAACCTGGCTATCAGCACTTTACCTGTCCCTGGCTCAATTTCCTTCTGCTTGTTATGAGAGGCCGATCCATGATGAGGGGAGAAGGCAGGGAGAGAATGTCATGTTCAGTGCTTTCAAAGGGCCTCTCTGCTGTTTTCTACCAAGGTAAAATCAGAGGCAGGGATGCTCTCTGTCATCTAGTGGCAGCTCACTACCTTCATTGCCCAGTCTCAACATTCAAAGGGGGCTTAGCAGCACTGTTTCATCTTGTTCTGTGTTGTTGGGTTTTTTTTTTTTTCCTTGCGATCCTTAGAGGAATCCAGCTGATGTTGCTCCACAAATCTAGGCAAATACTGAGAGTAGCTCAGGATTATTCAGGCAAAATCTGAAATGCACTTTTCTCTTCAGTGTCCTTTTGTTGGTTTTGAAACTACATTGTTGTGAACAAGTTGAAACATCTCATTGCAAATAGCGAGTTTAATGTGGAATGGGCCCACAAAGTGAACCTGGAGCTTCTTGGCAAGTAATTTTTTCCAAAATTACATAATTTTTGGCTGGAGAATGGAACTAAGATTATGTTATTATTAAATCACCTGTAAGTATGCCATTGTACATAGAGGCCAGGGAGATAATTCGAGATAGCCAGCATGGCTTCACCAAGGGCAAGTCCTGCCTGACGAACCTAGTGGCTTTCTATGATGGTGTGACGTCAACGGTGGACAGAGGGAAACCAATGGATGTCATCTATCTGGACTTCTGCAAGGCCTTTGACACGGTCCCCCACAACATCCTTCTCTCTAAATTGGAGAGCTATGGATTTGATGGGTGGACTGTTCGGTGGATAAGGAACTGGCTGGATGGTCGCATCCAGAGGGTAGTGGTCAATGGCTCAATGTCCGGATGGAGATCAGTGACGAGTGGTGTCCCTCAGGGGTCCGTACTGGGACCGGTGCTCTTTAACATTTTCATCAATGACTTAGACTGGACTAGATGACCACTAGTGGTCCCTTCCAACCCTAAACATTCTATGATTCTATGATTCTATGATTCTATGTATGTTACAAAACACCTGTAAGGGACTCATTGTACATAGGCTCCAGATCAAGACTACTCACACGAATTATTCAGTGGATTATTTTACTTGAGTAAAAGTTGCAAACAAGGGATGGGGGTCAGCTATCAGGTATTTGGAGATAAGTCACTAAAGTGAAATTTATTTTCATGTTTGCTTGACTTTGCTTAGTTTCTCTTCTGTGAGGAAATTTTAGTGTAGTCCTGTAAATAGGAGCCATCAGACTCCTATTAATTAACTTCTGTAAGTTTTTATTCCTTTATTAAGTTAATTATAAACCCACTTTATTTTAAAAATTATTTTTATTACAGTTGTGACTGTTTTCCTTATGGAAAGCAGTGGACTAAGAGAAAATTGTGAGATAATAAGTGACAGATCTGAAGCCAGAGAGGGAACTTTTCAGCAGAAAGAGTAGTACTGAAGGTTTCTGTCACTTGTGAACAAGAATTGGTTGGCGAAAAAAGTTAGAGAGAGGGGGGTACTGAAGAAAAGGGAATTTGGGAAAGATTAATAGTTTTCCTATCAAAGGATAGCTGAGAAATATGCAGCCTCAACTTCTTAGTCCTCCATATTAAAAAAAAAAAAAGAAAAAATGTAGTATTTTTCTAGGAAAAATATAAGCAGTTTTATCCTGATTCTGCCACCAGGATCAAAGAACTTATCTTGTGTTTCAGTTTCTTCTCTGCAAAATGAGGATAAGGATATTGGACTTTTGTGAGGTGGTTTGAGAGCTGTAACTGTGAAGTGCAAGCTAACACAGCAGTACTCTCCAATGCTGAATACTCAGCGTGATGCTGAGGACTATGAAGCTGCTGGCTAAATGATGATGGGACTAAGGAGCATATGACAGTCACAAATAATGACATTTGTGATTTTACACAAATTCATGTGATTTATTCTGTTTCCTTCTATGTTTTTTTCCCATGGGGCAAAATCAGGCAATTGCTTTTTTCCAGTGCTGAGGTATAAGCTACAAAGCTGATTCTGATGAAAAATTAGCTTATGATCTCTTGATGAATGATCAAAACAGGTACCGAAATTCAGGTTATTTTCGAAGTTGTTTCTGTGGAATGATTTTTAAATGCCTGATTTTGAACTTGTTTTTAATTGATTATTTAAATAATATGATAAATTAAAAAAGCACTTGATTGGCTTTACCTTTGTTTTACCTTTATAGTTCTTAGTTGTTTTCCTAAGAAAAAGTTTCATATTCACTGTAACAATTCAATTTGTAGTTTTACTCTGATTTTCACAGGTCTGTCGGCACCGCTTGTCTCCTTTAGCTACTGCACATAACAGTACAGTTCACATGGTACCGCCTAGTAGCTCTGCTTTTTCCCAGAAGCATCAGATCTCCTGTGTGTCAAGGCCCCTTCTGTGTGAGTGTGAATGGATTCTATAGGTGTTTATGGATGCAGGGCTAGAAATAGACACAAGAAGAGAGCAAGTCAGAGGGGAAAACTGTGTGCTGAGAGGTCATGTCTGAGAGCCTCCCAAAACCTGACAAGCTCCAGAGGTTAGTAATGCTGTTGAATCCACAAGCATGGATATATTAGCATGTGAGTCAGCCAAATCTGTTGAAGGTCACCAGCAAACACCAGGATCAACAGTGCGATACACAGCTCACACTGCATCTGAGATAGTGGTGGCTGCTGTCTGCAGACAGGAACTACAGGTGTTATACACCAGTTGAAACAAGGGACTGCTTGAAGCTCTTTCTGAACACCTGCCTAGAAGCCCTTGTTGTATCAGTATAATCTTCTGCTTCTGATGAAATGACTGGGGTTGGCCTCCCAGCTGTTGCTCCAAATTGCTAACTAGAAGTTAGTGTGTTGGTGTGCATATGGCATAAGAGTGAACTGTGTGAAGTGGATGTATGGTGTGGAGTAAAATTAACAGCTTGATTTTATTATTAATAACAGTTTTATTAAGAAAAAGTGTTCTTGTAAATATTGGTTGTCATCTCTGTCTTTCTCCAACTTGATACTCTGTCAGGGAAAGGAAAATTTGCAACATATGCACTGAGTAACCCAGGCACACAGATAAATCTGTGTGAGGTCCTCAATGATTCCTGGCAGGTAATGAGGCCAGAACCAGCCTGGAGGACCAGTCAGAGAACTTCTGCTGGCACATACAGGGTCTGTATATCATGGATGGGTCCTACCTGTAATTCTGTTCATAAACATACATCTCATTCATGAAATTAATTGTATAGGATTACTTAGACTAGGAAGGTTATTTTAATGGGTGTCACATTTCTTAGGTGCTAAGATGTGTGTGGGGGGGTGTCTGTTTGGTTTGGCAAGCTGGATTTTGGATAAAAATTATAGCTTATTAAAAATTTACAATAAAGTGTTAGAATTTTATTAAAGTAGCTGAAATATGTTAGGCACAGGGTTTACATTTTAAAACTTTTAAAGACTTTATTAAAATACACACATTTTATTAGTATTTTGAAGTTTGATCATTGGATACATAAATTGTGAAGACCAGAAGCAAGAATGATGTACTGGAGGACAGAAAGTTTTATATGGAAGGAGAAAACATATCAACAAGTGAAAATAGTGTTGCAATATATATGGGAATAAACTGGAAGACCTAGGCCTAAGTTGGCTACATTTTGGCAGCGGTAGATACCATTCTCTTCTCTCTGGCTCTTACATGTGACAGGAAACAGGAATATTAGTTTCCTTCTTTCTCAGTTCTGAGGTGAGTTTCAACTGTCATTTAGTTAATGCATATGAAGAAAATAATCCCTCTCCTCTTTCTAGCTAACAATAGCAAAACTAATTAAGGCATAATTTTTTGTACAACAAAAGCTGAAAATACTCAACAATGGAAATACAAGTTGTTGTTCTGTTATGAATACTGGAAATATGCTTGTCATGAATAATGATGTTTTATAGAAATTAAATACTATTATGTAAATTTGTGTTTGTCAGAGCTGAAAAATGGAGAGTAAGTACCAACTATGCTGTCAGTGTTGTGTAGACCTTTGATTATAAAAAGCTGAATTCTGTAGAGCACAGCAGTGCACAGGAGACAGGCTGGTTGGAGAAAAAACTCAAGACTTTTATTAGCTGTTCATTCAAAGAGGTGTTCAGCCTGCTGGGAATATCTATTTCACCCTAGGCATGCTTTTACTATGTGCTTCACATAGGGCGCAGTTTTAGCAGTCTCCTGAAAATTTTAAATCTGCATGAAACATGGCACAAGCTTGCAATGACAGTAGGATGGCTTCCGGGAGATCATAGAGCAGCTTTTAATATTCAAGTGCTGTGACTGTGTATCCATAAAAAAAAAAAAAAAAAAAAAAAAAAAATCTGTGGTGAAATCATTAGCCCTAAATTTTAATGGAAAAAGTAAAACCTGTTAGTTCTCCAGTCCTTTACAGAAAGATTTTCATTGACTTTGAGGCAAGGATTTTGCTCAGTAATAACACTAGTAACTGATTCAGTCTTTACAATCTCCTCCCTGATTGATCAAGCCACTGTAGGAAGCTAAGCAGGGATAAAACTCACTGCAGACCTCACACTGAGGAAATGCTTCCCTGGGTGAATAATTCCAGTGTTCATCAGCTCAAAGACATTTAATGTGTGGCAGAACTGTGAGGAGGGAGGCAATGGTGTCTAAGAAAGCCAGGTTAACCCCATAAAGAGAGCTCTAGGACAATGATGGGTTGCATTACCTTCTGTGATGGCTACAGTTGATCCTTCTTCTGGCCCTAACCTTATACACTTCTTCCTTGAATAAAAATTATAAAGTGCATACATATTCAGGAAAAAGGGTTAAATGTTTGTGCTAAGTTGCTTTTATTACCTAATACAAAATCTCTATAACCTATTTGAGACATAAAGGTCTAAAATATTGTACTCATTAGAAGTAGAAAAGCCATGCTTTTCCAACATTTGTAACTGTTCCTCATCTTCCAGGCTTGCAGTTTGAGTGTGCTATTCCAAGAAATATAAGATGAGCACAAGGGAGGAAGGAGAGAACTGTTGACACCAAAATCACAGATTTGCTCAGTCTCCTTTGTTCTGGGCAAGGCATCATACCTAGACAAATAATTTCTCCTTTGTCTTCCTTTACAAATCAAATACACACACAAAGCATTCTTTGCTGATGTTCTTAACCTATCAGCTTCTCATCTATAAGTTTGTGGTCCCCAAGACAGATTAGGATATAAGTGCTGTGCATGTCCTTGTGAATCAAAAGATTATAGAATTTATTTTTTAGAATATAGAATTTATATTTATAGAATCATAGAATCATAAAGGTTGGAAAAGACCTCCAAGATCATCAAGTCCAACTGTCAACACCACCATGCCTACTAAATCATGTCCCAGAGTGCCACGTCTACACGTTTTTTGAACACTTCCAGGCATGGTGATGCCACCGTCTCTCTGGGCAGCCTGTTCTAATGCTTGACCACTCTTTCAGTAAAGACATTTTTCCTAGTATCCAAACTAGACCTCCCCTGATGCAACTTGAGGCCATTTCCTCTTGTCCTAACGCTTGTTACTTGGGAGAAGAGACCAACACCCACCTCGCTACAATCTCCTTTCAGGTAGCTGTATAGAGCGATAAGGTCTCCCTCAGCCTCCTCTTCTCCAGCTGAACAATCCCAGTTCCCTCAGCTGCTCCTCAGACTTGTGCTCCAGACCCTTCACCAGCTTCATTGCCCTTCTCTGGACACGCTCCAGCATCTCAATGTCCTTCTTGGAGTGAGGGGCCCAAAATTGAACTCAGTATTCAAGGTGTGGCCTCACCAGTGCCTAGTACAGGGGGACAGTCACTTCCCTGGTCTTGCTGGCCACACTATTCCTGATAGAAGCCAGGATGCTGTTGGCCTTCTTGGCCACCTGGGCATGCTGCTGGCTCACGTTTAGCTGTCTGTCAACCAGCACCCCCAGGTCCTTTTCTGCCAGGCAGCTTTCCAGCCACTCTTCCCCAAGCCTGTAGCGTTGCATGGGGTTGTTGTGACCCAAGTGCAGGATCCAGCACTTGGCCTTGTTAAACCTCATACAATTGACCTTGGCCCATTGATCCACTCTGTCCAGATCCCTCTGCAGAGCCTTTCTACCCTCAGGCAGATCAACACTCCTGCCCAACTTGGTGTCATCTGCAAACTTACTGAGGGTGCACTCAATCCCCTTATCCAGATTATTGATAGAGATTAAACAAGACTGACCCCAGAACTGAGCCCTGGGGAACACCACTTGTGATTGGCCACCAACTGGATTTAACTCCATTCACCACAAGTCTCTGGGCTTGGCCATCCAGTCAGTTTTTCACCCAGTGAAGAGAACACCTGTCTAAGCCATGAGCCACCAGCTTCTGTAGGAGAATGCTATGGGAGACAGTGTCAAAGGCTTTACTAAAGTCCAGGTAGACAACTTCCACAGCCTTTCCCTCATCCATTACGTGGGTCATTTGGTCAAAGAAGGAGATCAGGTTAGTCAAGCAAGACCTTTGTGGGGTTTAACCTGCTTTTACTTGAGGGAGGCATTGCTGCAATTGTATGTCAGGTTTCTCCCATATTTTTCCCACATGACTGTGCTTTGAGACTGGAGACAAGTCCATGATGAGCTGTGGAGGGTGGGAATTTGGTGACTGATGACTTTGAATTTCTTCTACTGTGGTGTCGGTCTGTAAAAAGAGAAAATCCCAGCAGAGCATGCTGGTCAGTAGCAAGGTGAAGTTTGGACAGGGTGATAGGGCCCTTCCGAGTCCTGTGGTACCTCTCTGTCTGAGTTAAATGACACCTAACCTTGGTCAGGGCTGGAAGGACACTTTTTGTTCAAAAAAAGAAAAAAATGTACACGGTGATAAGACCATTTCCTTTCTCACAGCGTCTCCTTTAATGTCAGGCCTGAAATATGAAGTCATTAGGGGATATTAAAACAGTGCTGACAAACTAATTAACAAAAGACATTACGCCGGATGGGCTCAATTTATCCTTTTTAATGGTTCTTATAAATGGGTGCCGCCAATTAAAATTAATAAAGATTTACCAGCGATTGCCCAGCATACACTGTTAAGGAGCTCCACTGAAGGTCGCCTTAAAGTCAGCCTTGTCAAAGCTGCAAGTTCAGCTCCCAGTATCAAGCCGTGCTGAGTTACTCTCAGTTATGTTTTCCCAGGCAGTTTCTCTTTCTTTGTATTTGGCTGAAGTTTACACATTTCTGTCTCTCTCTCTCTAAAAACTCATCCATCTGTCTGTTGACTCTATTAAAAAAATACACCCCCATGCACTATTAGATTTGTCAGTTTCACAAAGGAGAATCTCAACAGACAGTATAATGAGAACTTTGTTCTTTCCAAATCTGTCTGTTATGAAGAAACCCTTGACATACAGCTTTCTTTTTAAACCACTCTTTATATTCTTGCTACCAAATTAAGGTACAACAATGTCTCTGCTTAGGGGTAGGGTACAGATGATCAAGAATGCCCTGAGTGGCCGTAACTTTGTTCAGCATAGACGAGATGAAATTCTGCCAGGCTGCCAGCATTCCACCATGTTTGTTGCTCATGTTATGTGAACAACGAAGTTTAGGAATTCATCCTTATACTTGGATAACAGTGAAAGCCCTCATGTTGAAAGAGTTTCAGCCAGCTATGTTGGAAATTAAAACACTAGCTTGTGTAGGTGATTAGGCATTACAAATACAAATTAGGAGTGGATCAAGGGAGAAGTCTGCAAATACCCCAGCGACTAAAAATTGATGACAAACAGTAAATTCTTTGTAACTGGTCCACTAACAGGAAAGCAGCTAGATAGTTAGGCAGCCACTAATCTGACCAGCTCATCTCTGAGGTCGTACCCTCCATTTCCGTTTTGTAAGGCAGTGGGGCAGGTAAACTGGTTGAGGGCCATTCTTTTCTCCCTTACTTTCCTTGAAACAAATGCTGGCAGAAAGACTGCTGTAAGTGGCTAGATGGAGATGCAGCTGTAGCTTGTGCTGGGCTGTGTTGGCAGGTCCGTGCTGATCTCTGTGACCTGGGAATGTACTGACTGTAATGGGCAGGAGACAGACTCTGTGGGAGAAGGTGGATATGTCTGCTTAAGAATCAAATTATTTGGTGCAATTGCTTGGTGTTGCTACTACTAAGGATTCCCCAGAAAGCAGCACTAAGGGGCAGGTGCTGTCTTCCCATGCACATTTAGAACTAGATGCTCAATCTGAGATGGCAAGAACATGCTAACACTTTTGGAGAGTAGCAAACAGTTCCAGATTCATTACTCGTCAGTGCCTGGTAAATGACTGCTGTAGGCTGGAAAGAGGACTCCAGAAATGGTATCCTCTGTTCTGTTCTACCATTTCTTTGTAAAAACACTGATTAGGCACAGTAAATTAACAGTTCAAAAAAGGAAGGAGACCCGTGGGAGCAATGGTAAAGGCAGTGTTACAAGAGCTAGAGAAACAGCTCAACTGATTTTGTGGGAAACCACCTCGGATTGCCACAACTGGGACAAAGTGACCCTGATGGGTCAGGTGATGAAACTCCAGGGAAATGAGAAGGATTACATCTGTGAGAACTTAAAAGAGAGCTGAAGCTTCCTGTTGTTGTATAGCTGTAACAACCTCACTGGAGCTAAGGTATTACTTTCTTTACTTTTGCGATCTCACTCCCCCACTTCTGAGTATGCTAAGCACATAGAGGAAATCTATACAGTATATTCTATGAGTGAACTTGTCCTTGTGAAACTTAAAGCACAGGATAACAGAGAAAAGATATTCAGATTTTCTGGAGGGGAGGAGGAGAAAGTGCATTTTAGTATCTCCTCTAGATCATCATTGATTATTTTTTTTCCTCACTTACAAGCAGCATTCTTTGGCAGAAAGGTACATTATTTTTTGTGATTCCTGGGACTAGGGGACAGACTTTGGATTTCAGAAGCAAGTTCTCTGCTCTATTGAAACAAGTCAACTTCAAGATTATGGGTTTAGAAATGTGAGTCCATCCAAGGTTTTTCAGGAATGACTGTCTCAATTTCTTTATTTATTTATATTATATGGGTTTTTCAGGAATGACTTGTGGATTCACACTGTCTCAATTTCTTTATTTATTTATATTATATTTGCTGTGTGAGAAGACATCAGACATAGGTCTGGAGCAGACAAAATACAGAGGTATGGCTGTTGACGGAATCCGTGCAGCCATGTATTCTCAGTGGAGAAAGATGAAAGCTGTTACCCAGCTTTCTGTAGAGTAAAGCTCTCATCTATGGCTATATCT